AAGGTATTTGACCTCCAGCAGCACCTCTGCCTTGACAATGTACAATATAAACCCAGGCCAATGTTGCTATGGGGGTCAAGGCAATAAAAACAAAGCAGTATTTCTTCTCGACTGAGAATAGGAGCCAAAAGAAGTTATGTTTTCAAACAAATCTGATCAAAGGCCTCTTGCCCTTGGCTATAAGGGCTGTTGTAACTAACACAGTAAGGTTTCTTAGCAACAGTTTATTCAGGGAGGTACAAGTATACCTCAGTAAAAGCAAATAATATATGAAAATCCACATGCATGCAAGAAATCAATTTAGAAGTGACTCTGTTTTACAGAAAGATTTATTTGGTGTCCTAAAACATGTTTAGATTGACATTTGGGGGGAAAAAAAAGGGACCAGGTTTGCTGGTCTGATAGAGCTTGATGGAACCACTGAGATTATGGCCCCTATCTGCCCTTCAGGTCTGGAACTGAACTCACTCCTGTGCTTCCAGCCAAACAAAAGATCAGGCATATGAGGTGAACATTTACACTAGTGTAGATATACTCCTTGGAGAGAATAATCATGGGAGAATAGAAGGGCTATGTATGCAGAGGGAGATAGCATGGGGGATAGGAGTGCATGGGAGGGAAGGACACAGGGAAGAGGTAATTATGCAGAGGAAGTGGGAGGGGAGCTGTTGCACTGTAGTAAATTGTAGTCAATGTCATAAGACAAAAGTAAGTGTATGTGAACTGCTATATGGAAAGTAAATTTGCTCTGTAAATTTTCATCCAAATCACAAAAAAAAGTTTATATTGAAATAAATTCAATCACATATACGTATGTGTATATCTATCTATACACACACACACACACACACACATAAACCAAAAAAAACCAAACCCACTTCTGTCAAGTTAGATCCACTCATAGCAACACCTCCTTGGGTTTCCCAGGTGGCATCACTATGGAAGTAGATTGCGTAACCTTCCTTCCTACGAGTGCTGGTGGGTTTGAACTGCCATCCTTCTGGTTAGCAGTCAAATGCCTTAAGCACTACACTATCAGAGCTCCTAAACACACACACGCAAACGTGCGCACGTGCGTATATGCACATGCACACACATACACACACAGAGGCATACGTCTGACATAAATATTGCATAGGCTTCTGCTGCTCAAAACAGTGTGCATGGACTAGTATCAGCATCAGAGAGCTTGCTAGAAATGCAGAATCTCAGGCTCTACCTCAAACTTCATTAACCAGAATCTATACTTTAAAAAGATCCCCAGATGATTCACATGCACATAAAAATTTGAGAAGAACTGTTCTAGGTGATTTCATGACACTGAAATCAGAAGCTCTCCCAATGTAGTTATTCATCATAGCTTCGATTAGTGTGGGGTCTCAATCCTTACCCCTTACCACAGATTAGAATCACCTGAATCATGTGGGTAGCTTTTCTTTAAAAAGAAAAAAAAAAAGTTCTTCTCTTTAAAAATACTGATGTCTAGACCCTATTCCAAGATTTGGATTTAATTGGTCTAGCATTAAAGCTTTTATTTTTTTTAAGATGCTTAAGTGATTGGAGTTGCAGAGAACCACTGCTATAGATGACAGCAACAAACTAATACAAAGCAACCTTACCAACAGTTAAGATTTTAAATGTATCCAGAAGAACTAGATGGTGCCTGGCTACCAATTTCATCCACTTGGAAAGGGATCTA